CGGTGGAGATGTCACAGTGCCGTGATTAGAGCCTCGCAATCGGCCACAAACTTGTCAAAGTTGGAGATGACGGCATTGACCTGATCCTCTGTCAGACCGATGATCGGTCCCAGGATCGGCAGATACTTGTCCACGAGGGCTTTCAACTCCTCCAGAAGCTTTTCAACGGGGCTCGGCTCAGCTGCAACGCATGACATGGTGCGTGAAATCAGTACCCAATTTGTACCAAGGCTCTTGAGTTTACACCAGTCTACGTTTGCATGAGCAATGTCCCGACTTGCCGCTCGGCAAACACTGTTGTAATTATCTCTGCCCAAGAGCAGACGACGAGAGTGCACGCATGACGGAGGAAAAAAAACATGACCTCTGTTGTGCTCCAAAAAATGTAATCCCTTGAAGTGCTGCTGCAGCACCTCATTAATCTGTATTGCAGAGTCGATCTGTTGCTGCATGCTTTGTGCCATGCTGGAGGGAATTTGCCATTGTCATTGTTGCGCAAACAGTTACAGAACCGTTCTTATCAGCATGTATCCCCTACTTGAACCGAAGCTCGAAAGGCCAAGGATACAATCACAACGCTACTTGATTCGATGTCACTGATAGCTACCAGATCTTTCATCCATCTTGGGAGAGGTAAGCAATGCGCTATTTAGTACATGCGGAGTGCAGTCGTCGAGAAATTAATAGCATACATGCATATCAGCTAAAATGGCCCAATAATGCGTCGTTATACATGCCGGCGAGTGCGCACTTGAATCAATTTTGTATACACACGTGTAGATTGCCTACCAATCAGTTTTACGAATGCCCACTTCCTGGCGATAGCATCCACACTCAACCAGCAATAATCCTTTCGCTGAGCTGGTCGGGCCCACAGAGAATGACCGGCATGAGCACTGCGCATTAATTTCATGAAAATGATTGATTCTGCAAGGTGCTTGAGCTCTAAATGCATGCGAAAAGGCGCTTAGCCATATTTATCCCAAGGTTGTGTGCTGGGTATGTAGTGTGCAGTGTAATGCTGACAGTAGCTATGCCTACTTACTTGCGTTTTGTTTACACCTGCTGTGTTGACTAACATGGCAACAGAACAGCACGTTTTGCTGATGACTCTGTTCGTCGATGCCTTTTTAACCAGAGAATCAGAAATTTGTTCATTCCCCGTTCTTGTGATGTTACCATGCAGGTTACTGGTAAGATACTTCCTAGACGTTACAACCACAGGTGACTGTTATAAAAATGGCGTCAGGAAAAACCCTTGACAGTGAAATCCTCATGTGTGTGCGGGACGAACTGAAAAATTTCTCCCTGACATACCATTACTACTGGGCTTTTAAGGTGGGAGAGCTGTCGTTCTGAACATATAATTGCAGCCATATGACTGCCGGTCGTCGGTTATATAATCCAAGTAAGTGAGGAGGCATACATTACGTGAAATCCAGTAATGAAGTTTGCTGACGTTGTAATGTTTTGCACAATAACGTACTTTGCAGCAATCAGTTCTCATACACCAATTTGCTGCTGACGTACTGGTGGCCATAGAAACCGTCCTGGGTAGGATGGGAGCTCCGCAGTCCTCAGAATGTTGAGCACGTCCGTCAGGATCTTCTCCAGCGCAGTGTCGATGTCGGTGTGTCCGTGCTCGGCCGACTCGATGTCCTTGATGAGCGTGTCAATGTCAGCCTCTAGCAGCCTTGATCTGGTCATCAGTCAGACCCAGCACCGGCCCCAGGGACTCGAGCCCCTTGCTTAGAAGACTCTCCAGCTGAGTCAGCAGGCCGTCCAGATCGGTCGGTGTGTCGTCCGCTGTGGACAAGGAGCGTGGAGCTGGATGCATTGGTACCCTAAATGGAACTCAGCAATGGATACATGAGCTAAGCATCCAGTTTGTAGGTGCTGTCTCAAAACTACGCATTTACATACTATTGGTGATTTTAAGGCTCGTGGTTACTACTTTTTTCGTCATCACTGAACTGCTGACATGAACGCTATGAGCAGACATGACCAACGGTCATTCACTACTCACTGGGATTGGTAGTATCGATGCCCAGGGCTCTCAGGATCTCGATGATGTCGGTGACCATGTTCTCGAGTCCAGGTGGAGATGTCAACGGTGCCGTGATTTAGAGCCTCGCAATCGGCCACAAACTTGTCAAAGTTGGAGATGACGGCATTGACCTGATCCTCTGTCAGACCGATGATCGGTCCCAGGATCGGCAGGTACTTGTCCACGAGGGCTTTCAACTCCTCCAGAAGCTTTTCAACGGGGCTCGGCTCAGCTGCAACGCATGATATGGTGCGTGAAATCAGGACCCAATTTGTACCAAGGCTCTTGAGTTTACACCAGTCTACGTTTTGCATGAGCAATGTCCGACTTGCCGCTCGGCAAACACTGTTGTAATTATCTCTGCCCAAGAGCAGACGACGGGAGTGCACGCATGACGGAGGAAAAACAACATGACCTCTGTTGTGCTCCAAAAAATGTAATCCCTTAAAGTGCTGCCGCAGCACCTCATTAATGTGTATTGCAGAGTCGATCGGTTGCTGCATGCTTTGTGCCATACCGAAGTAAATTTGCCAGTGTCATCTTTGCGCAAACAGTTACAGAACCGTTTCTTATCAGCATGTATCCCTACTTGAACCGAAGCTGGAACGCCAAGGATACAATCACAACGCTACTTGATCCGATATCACTGATAGCTACCATATCAATCATCCATCTTGGGAGATGTAAGCAACGCGCTATTTACTACATGCGGGGTGCACGTCGTCGAAAAATTAATAACATTCATGCATATCAGCTAAAATGGCCCAATAATGCGTCGTTATACATGCCGGCGAGTGCGCACTTGAATCAATTTTTGTATACACACGTGTAGATTGCCTACCAATCAGTTTTACGAATGCCCACTTCCTGGCGCTAGCATCCACACTCAACCAGCAATGATCTTTCGCTGAGCTGGTCGGGCCCACAGAGAATGACCGGCATGAGCTGCGCATTAATTTCATGAAAATGATTGATTCTGCAAGGTGGCTTGAGCTCTAAATGCATGCGAAAAGGCGCTTAACCATATTTATCCCAAGTTGTGTGCTGGGTATGTAGTGTTCAGTGTAATCCTAACACTAGCTATGCCTACTTACTGTGTTTTGTTCAAAACCTGCTGTGCTGACTAACATGGGAATAGAGCAGCTCGTTTTTCTGATGACTCTTTTCGTGTGATTGCCTTTTAACCAGAGGATCAGAAACTTTTTCATTCCCCTTTTTCTGATCTTACCACACAGGTTACTGATGAGATATTCCTGGAGTTATAACCACGGGTGACTGTTATAAAAATGGAGTCAGGAAAACCCTTGCCGTGAAATCCTCATGTGTGTGCGGGACGAACTGAAAACATTTCTCCCGACATACCCTTTCTATGGGCTTTAAGTGGGAGAGCTGTCATTCTTTACATATGATTGCAGCCTATATGACTGCCGGTCGTCAGTCACATAATCCAAGTAAGTGAGGAGGCATACATTATGTGAAATCTAGTAATGAAGTTTGCTGATCGTTGTCATGTTTTGCACAATAACGTACTTTGCAGCAATCAGCTCTCATACACCATTTGCTGCTGACGTACTGGTGGCCATAGAAACCGTCCTGGGTAGGATGGGAGCTCCGCAGTCCTTCAGAATTTTGAGCACGTCCGTCAGGATCTTCTCCAGCGCAGTGTCGATGTCGGTGTGTCCGTGCTCGGCCGACTCGATGTCCTTGATGAGCGTGTCAATGTCAGCCTCTGCAGCCTTGATCTGGTCATCAGTCAGACCCAGCACCGGCCCCAGGGACTCGAGACCCTTGCTTAGAAGACTCTCCAGCTGAGTCAGCAGGCCGTCCAGATCGGTCGGTGTGTCGTCCGCTGTGGACAAGGAGCGTGTAGCTGATGCATTGGTACCCTAAATGGAATCTCAGCAATGGAATGCATGAGCTAAGGCATCCAGTTTGTAGGTGCTGTCTCAAAACTACGCAATTAGCATACTAATGGTGATTTTAAGGCTCGTGCTACTACTTTCTTCGTCATCACTGAACTGCTGACATGAACGCTATGAGCAGACATGACCAACGGTCATTCACTACTCACTGGGATTGGTAGTATCGATGCCCAGGGCTCTCAGGATCTCGATGATGTCGGTGACCATGTTCTCGAGTCCGGTGGAGATGTCAACAGTGCCGTGATTTAGAGCCTCGCAATCGGCCACAAACTTGTCAAAGTTGGAGATGACGGCATTGACCTGATCCTCTGTCAGACCGATGATCGGTCCCAGGATCGGCAGATACTTGTCCACGAGGGCTTTCAACTCCTCCAGAAGCTTTTCAACGGGGCTCGGCTCAGCTGCAACGCATGACATGGTGCGTGAAATCAGTACCCAATTTGTACCAAGGCTCTTGAGTTTACACCAGTCTACGTTTTGCATGAGCAATGTCCGACTTGCCGCTCGGCAAACACTGTTGTAATTATCTCTGCCCAAGAGCAGACGACGAGAGTGCACGCATGACGGAGGAAAAAAAAACATGACCTCTGTTGTGCTCCAAAAAATGTAATCCCTTGAAGTGCTGCTGCAGCACCTCATTAATGTGTATTGCAGAGTCGATCTGTTGCTGCATGCTTTGTGCCATGCTGGAGGGAAATTTGCCATTGTCATTGTTGCGCAAACAGTTACAGAACCGTTTCTTATCAGCATGTATCCCTACTTGAACCGAAGCTGGAACGCCAAGGATACAATCACAACGCTACTTGATCCGATATCACTGATAGCTACCAGATCAGTCATCCATCTTGGGAGACGTAAGTAACGCGCAATTTACTACATGCGGGGTGCACGTCGTCGAAAAATTAATAACATTCATGCATATCAGCTAAAATGGCCCAATAATGCGTCGTTATACATGCCGGCGAGTGCGCACTTGAATCAATTTTTGTATACACACGTGTAGATTGCCTACCAATCAGTTTTACGAATGCCCACTTCCTGGCGCTAGCATCCACACTCAACCAGCAATAACCTTTCGCTGAGCTGGTCGGGCCCACAGAGAATGACCAGCATGAGCAACGCGTTAACTTGATGAAAATGATTGATTCTGCAAGGTGGCTTGAGCTCTAAATGCATGCGAAAAGGCGCTTAGCCATATTTATCCCACGTTGTGCACTGGGAATGTAGTGTTCAGTGTAGTGCTGACAGTAGCTATGCCTACTTACTCCGTTTGGTTTAACACTTGCTGGGTTGACTAACATGGCAACAAAACAGCACGTTTTGCTGATGACTCTGTTCGTCCGATTGCTTTTTAACCAGAGAATCAGAATTTTTTTATTTCCCGTTTTTATGGTTACCATGCAGGTTTCTGGTAAGATACTCCTAGGCGTGTAACCACAGGTGACTGTTATAAAAATGGAGTCAGGAAAACCCTTGCCGTGAAATCCTCATGTGTGTGCGGGACGAACTGAAAACATTTCTCCCGACATACCCTTTCTATGGGCTTTAAGTGGGAGAGCTGTCATTCTTTACATATGATTGCAGCCTATATGACTGCCGGTCGTCAGTCACATAATCCAAGTAAGTGAGGAGGCATACATTATGTGAAATCTAG